GGGGACTGTCTCTTCAGACTTGGTCTCTTAGGATCATCCACAGATACCTATACTGTAGATAGGTCTTAGTCATCAGGTCTACTCCACTTCCTTGTTGCCTGCTTAGACTCTTGGCACTCTTAGGTGAGCAGACTTAGTCAGCCTGTGTTGCCCTAACATAGCCTCTGCGATGACAATGTACTGGCAATGTTGATATTCAGTTCAACAGATGCTGCTTCAGTCTGCCAGATATGTCTCTGATATGGTGTATGCCTTCCACAGATGTTCACTCTGATTGAGGGATCTGAGGTGATTGCTTGGTATACTTTCCGAACAAATTGGAATGGGCAATGTCTCATGTGCATGAAATACACCCAAACCACTTTAAGCCTTTTGAAGGGTGCATTATTAACTCAGGTCTGCTGTACCATGGCTCTGTGTATTTATTTGATGAATATTGAAAATGGCATGCATGTCTCACCCAGAGGTTGCACAGAATGGGGCATGTCTCAGGTGGATTTAAATCCACAAAAAATGATTTAAGCCTTTTGAAGGGTGTATGAACTCTGAATAGAACAGCTCTGCCATACTAGGGCTTGGTGTATTTATTTCATAATGACATGCATGTCTCACCCAGAGGTTGCAGAGAAGGGGGAATTTCTCAGGTGCATTTAAATTCACAAAAATAATCCAAGCCTTTTGACGGGTATTAACTCTGAATAGAACATGGCGGAGTATTGATTTGATAAATTTTGAAAAAGCCATTCATGTTTCCTCCAAGGGTTGCTGTCTTTCAGGTGCACTCAAATCCACAGGCAAAGTGCAACTAATTTGAAGGGTGTAATTCCTCTGACTCAAACATAGCTTCTTCCAGTCATCACTGCTAGTCAGCGATATCTTCCGGCTTCCTTGCTACTATGAAGTGCCTCAGTTTGTTCCACACACTTCTTGATGTTCATATTCAAGGGTGTTCTATGATGTTCTTGTGAATGCTCTGATATATCCATATTGTGCAGCATTGAAGATAATTTGCCATGTTGTGAGCCTTTAGTCTAGCATATATTTGTCTCTGCCTCAATTGTTTGCCACAGTGTTTTATATAACAGACAGTTTGAACAATCATGGGATGTTGTTTATTACAGTGGCACCATTGAGGGGTAGTCATCTAAGCAGAGCACAGAAGATAGTAGTAATGTGAGGCCAGTTTATACAATAAGTCTGTTGTTGAGCTCAGTTATAGGTTCTGCATAGCACCAGACACAGAGCAGGACCATCATCACTTGCTTGGTCAATGCTTTGCTCGCGGGGTACTGCTGTTGTCCCAGCTTGTTCCACGGGGTTGCCGAAGTAGACTGGCAGAAGGGGGCTCAGGACCCTTGGCGGTGACCCGAGCATCTTGGAATAGTGCATCTGTCAACTTGGAGAGCTATGTACAATGTAAATATCCTAAGTTTTTAGGCGGTTTGACTTGTATAGGTGTCGCATTTTTTACAGAAGGCTGCTCATGGAACAAACAAGGTTTGCACATCTTTCCTTCACTACTTTCGCTCTGGCAACTTTGTGAGAAGCTCGGGCACCGCGTCGAAAAGATCTGCCTCCAGTCCACCATCCGCAACCTGGAAAATGGGAGCATCCGGATCCTGGTAGGGGATAGTTAGCAGCACGTCTACCGTGAGAGGGCAGGGATGACCTTATTGATCGCGACGATGAACTTGGAATCTTTCATCCCAGCGAGGTGTTGGATTGCCCCAGAGATGCCAATTGCTATGTAAAGAGATGGAGCAACAATTTTGCCTGTCTGGCCAACCTATCACAAGGTAACGTGACGATGCCACCAGTGAAGTTGTTGTTTTCATACCTGTAAACTATTGTCGGCATAGCCAGCGTCCACAGCGGCCCGGCTCGCGCCGATGGCAGCACCCAGTCTATCGGCTAACGGTGTAAGTGTTGCATCAAAATTGGCGCGGCTCTTCAGACCGCGACCGCCGGATATAACTATATCGGAGGAGCCCAATTCCGGCCGCGTGCTCTCGGTGGTCATGGTTTTCAGATGTTCCGCTTGTACTTCGGACGGCTCAGCTGGTGCAATGTCTTCTACGGCTACATCGGAAGAGCCGATGCCAGACTGTTGAAACGCAGTACTCCGCACTGTGACAATGCGGAGACCGTCGGAAGTGGGCTTGACTGTGGAAATTGCATTGCCTGCATAGATTGGCCGTGTATAGATGTCGGCACCCGATTCAACGCTGATGGACGTCACATCTGAGATAGGCTGAACGTCAAGTTGAGCTGCCAAGCGTGGCAGAAAAGATTTTGAAGTGGAAGACGTTGAGGAGAAGAGGTGAGTATATCCCCGGTCTTGGACCAACTTCTGGAAGAAAGGAACAGTGGTTTCCGGGACCGAATGCACATATAAACGAGAGCTCGATGTCAGAATCTTTGTCAGGCCATCCAATCTTGAGAAAAATACGAAGGTGACCACTTGTCTAAATTAAATCAAAGGATGTACTGACTTTCTAGCTTGGGGTAATACTGCGTCGAGCTCTGTCTGGGAGCCCATGAGAACACCAGTTATTTCACCGCCGAGAAGCTTGGCCGCTGTGAGGGCACACAGGGTTCCCCCTGTGAGCTTCCCGCTCGCATGTTCTAGGTACAGAAGGGTAGAGGGATGCGGGGGAGTCGCATAGAGCCTTGCAAGAGCGGGCCGTAAAAGGTGAGCAGACCGTGCAAACATGTTACAGTGACGGACTAAGGACATCCATCAACGGAGAAGAGTAGCTTCCAGCTGATTGCACAGCCACCCATGGGTCCCAGCATGTGAAAGTCTCGGTTATTCCCTGACAGAAGCACACCACTATTACAGCATGACCAGCGGTTGTTCCATCCTTTGCTCATCCTCTTGTATTCTCCCTTGTCGAGATCATGTCCACCATACTCTCTAGCACAGACTGTGGCCCCTCAAGCGCTCTGAGCGAACTTCAGAAACATGCCGATGTTGACAGAAGCCTGCAACTCGCGCGGCCATCTGCGACGTCTAGATCAGTGAGCATCCGGGTGTCGTTCCTGTGTGAGAAGCTCAGCAGATACATTTCAATAGAAGCTCAGCCGTATTCCGATGACTGCGCCCTCTGCCACAACCTCGTCTGCAAGGTCCGCGACTGCTCAGTTCTTCGCCAATCAGGCTGTTTTACCCCATCCATTTCTCAATTCTCCTGGAACTGCAGAGTCCCCTTTTGATGACCATCGTTCTGACTGGGCGGCTGAATTACCCCGTATGAACGAGTCTCCATTGATGATAAACACTACGGGCATGTACGCCGATATGGAAGCTGCACTGCGCCGGGCTCAAAGTGTCCCGGGGCCGTGGGCTACGGAGTTCCGAATTCCCTCCATGTCAACATCAACGGTGCGGGAGGCAAGGATCACCGAGGTCCCACAGTCTATGTGGGATCGAGAGTTCGCCAGAATAGATGTTTCGCCTGTCTCTGTTGATGTCAAGGGGAAGGGAAGGGCTTACGGCTTGGGGGATGCTGCCCTCGATGATGCATTTGCCCGCGTCACCGTGCAGTCTGATGAGAGGCCTGTCGCTAGTCCAGCCCTTGAACACGACTTTACCGCTGAGTTTGAGAGGTGGGCTTGATTTGTCTAACTTACACTGTAGCTCACAAGGAATTATCTAAGTGTCTGGACTCAAATGAATCATGAAAGGCTCCAAACCCCTGAAGGCGCGGATCTGGCATCCTGGGAGGCTGATTTACACGCTCATCAAATGGAAGAAAGCGCGGATGACTCTCTATGGGATCTTAGCGAGATGGAGCGGAAGTATCAGGAGCTTACTGCAACGACGCGAGACGATTCCGAGTTCTCTATGCGGTATGACGATGATGGCCTCCCAGATTTCGGAGAGTACGAATTCGGTGGGTGATGCAGGGGGTAGGCACAATTGTTGGTCTCACCCTTTTCTAGAACGAGAGAACCCATATTTAACGCTGCACCTCTCGGAATCTCTGCCCACACTCTTGCAGCAAGCACTTGCATCATCCGATCCGTCTGCCTTAACCCGATCTGCGTTGATTCTGGAAGCTATGCTGCAGCTAGATAAAACCCAGACTCCTCAATTTCAGCTGTGGTATACCCTGGGCCAAGTGCTTGTGCGAGATGAGAGAGATGATAAAGGTATCAAAGCCCTTGTCCGTGCTGTAAAGGACAGCGCAGGACACCAAGACGCAAATTCGGCAATTCTCGTGCGGGCATTTGTCAGCCAATGTCGCTGATACCGACTCATGTGTTCGTCAGGAGCTCGCCATAGCCTACGTCAACCAATCATATGACATGGCCTGCTTTTTCACCCTCCTGCAGTTCGCCCATTCTAGGCATTCTAACAAGGCTGACATACCTGACTTGGGAATGATTCGCGGACGAGCAATTTGGTCAGTGCGAGATGCGGTCAAGGACATCTTTATCTCTCTGGCTCGAGAACAGCATGCAGAGAATATTGTCGACCCCGACGTTCAAGTGGGACTCGGCGTGTTGCTCTACAGCGAAGCGGAATATGACAGAGCGGCCGAATGTTTCCAGGCCGCATTGTCCATTAATCCACAGGTGAATGGGCCTCCCCTCTCCGTGTTTGTGCCTGACCGCCCGCGCCAGAATGCGGTTTTGTGGAATCGGCTAGGTTCCTGTTTGTCGAATGGCAACCGTCCTGAAGAGGCGATAGGTGCATATCGACGGGCCTTGGAAATATGGCCGAACTACACCAGAGCTATAGTCAATATTGGTGTCGCATGTATGTGTCTCTACGGAACATCGGCAGTTCAGCTGAATCTGCCAGGTTTGAATATGGGCGCACACCAAGAAGCAGTAGAACATTTTCTAAGCGCCATAGCGATGCACGATGGGTCGGCTTCCACAACAGCGATACCTAGCAGTGTGAAGTCTAACGACGATATATGGAAAACGCTCCGCCGGACATTCCTCGCCATGGTGAGTTGTGTCCCTCGACCCCTTCACAATTATTGGCCAGCTCACAAGACGGATATATCAAAGGATCGCCATGATTTGGCTGAGCGGGCGCTTCCTCCAGAAAGGTCGGCTGAGGCTTTCAGAGGAGAGGGATTTGAGTTCTAGCTTATGACAGATTGTTGCTGTTGGTTTCTGAGATCCGAGCGTAATGTCATGTGATAACAGAGGTCAGGGGCGGTGCTGGGTGACAGATTTTTCCTCCGTTTGCCTCCGCCTGGCGTGAGGGCGAAACAGGATAAAAGGCGCCAAGGGCTGTCGCCTGTCCTCCCACTTCCAACCTCCTTTTGCGCTTCATGAGCGACGATCCCAGCTGTAGAAACTACGCACTCTCGGTCCTCCTTGTCGTAGGGTATGTATAATTGTTATACCACGGTCCTATAGCACATGCATTGATACGTGTTTGTTTGCAGCAAATTCGACACACTGTCCCGTGACTTCATCTCTCCGCTTGCATTCCTCCTCGTAGGGACGGACAAGCCTCCTTAGAGCGGTTTGCTTCTTACATCTGGTCTCGCCTGCAAGTGTGCCTTTGATTTATGGGCTAGACCGTCGCCTGCACCATCACCGGTGGGAACTGGATCGCTCCGCCTCGCCTAAACAAGAGAATCCACTTTGCATTCGCCTCTACCATCTTTCTCTCCGATTCGATTTGATCACGTCTCTCCCCTTCTCTTCTACGACACCAATAATTTTTATTTGCTGCGAAACGCGATGTACAATCGCAAGACTGCCGCCATGTTATTGTGGCCATCTCGCCCAACTTCTCCCGCGCCTACCGGAGGTGAAGCGATCCCGACTTCCTACGCCCCTGATCTGCAACGGGGTGTATCTCTCTCCCGTCCCCTCAACGCGTTAATGCGTCCTTCGCTCAAAGAAGCCACGGATGTTGGAAACGCAGGACTGGTTGCCGAGTCATACTGCACACTGCTCGGAATGAAGCTCAACGAGGCTGTCGCTAAAGCGTTGATGGGCGGAACGGAAGGGCCAGTGTGGGATCGCCGTCGTTCCGTGCCCTGGGGAAAAGGCAAATCACTCGGGATGCTGATTAGCGGGTATGAGTTTCGGGTGATTCTTGACCCACTATCGTACTAACCTCTTCCAGCGAATTTACGAATGGATCCAACAGCGTCGATACGTTCACCCAAAGAGCCATTCTTCGAACCGTGCAACGGCCGCTGTCAGTGCTCTTGAGTAACATTCAAGGGCTCTTGACCCCGCTCCTCGCTTCCCCTCAATTTTTACCCACTTCCCCTCTGCCGCCCTCACTGTCCGCTGCCCAGGTGCATGCCCTGGCTCTGGCGGCCTTCGCTGGCGAGCTAAGCGACGCCCTTCTAATACCGAATGTTCCTCGTTTCGTCAACGAGGGGCTGGCGCCATATAGAGCCCAACTGAGCGCTCTCGAGACACGCGCTGGCCTCCCCATTGTTGCGGCATTAAAGGGTATCCTCGTTGGATTAGCCGTAGACCTGGAGAATGCTACAGCTGGCATCAAGGAACACGGTAGCCTCGCCGCTTTGAACCAGTCCGTAGTGGGCGCCAGCAAGCTTCTGCAAAGGCTTCTTGGAGCAGAACCTACCGACAAACGACAGATTTGGGCAGCAGAATTGCTGGCAAATGTTGCATGGGAAGGAATGGTCAGCTTGGTTTATCGACCTCGCGCCACGATGAGGGCCATTTTTCCGGAGCGCAAGTCCTCCCCACCCTTGGGCATTACACACGCTGCAGAGAGAGTGGATGTCCCATCAAGGTTTGGCATCAAGCAGCTTGTCTCGCGCCCTGTCACTCCCTCTGTCCCCCAACGTCCGGTCACGCCAAGCACTTTATCCCGCGATGCGCATGCATTACAGTCTTTCGTTACGGCACTCTCGAACAGTTGCGCAGTGTTCACCAATTCGCTTGCATCCGAGCTGCGTTCAGAAGCACTGCTGAGCCTGGCACAACTGCACACTCTGTTTTCATTAGCGCCACCTTCAACCCTGGTGGATATTCCAGAATTGGAGTTACTGCCCAGTGCCATTGTTCTGACTTACCTTCTGCCCGAAGGCAAGGTTGCTTCCCTTTTGGGGATGGATGCAGGAACGTTCAGGGGTCGTTGTCTCAAAGATGAGAACAGTGCCGAACGATGTGAACAGGCGGTGGAGCAGGTCGTCCGTGATTGGGTTGCCGATAAAGATGGATGGGCAGCTGTACATCGGTGGCTCGTTGGGGATAGCTCTGCATGCAGCACTTAGAAACTCAATAGATTTCCCCTCTAGATGAATTCTTCAAAGGTTTAAGTTGATATTTGCATGTGTTTCAACGGTTGCTGCAAATTAAGTCTTAGTTGGAAGAAAAGAGGATGTCATGTCAAGTTGACACTTTGCCGGAGTGGTTAACGGGTGCCCCTGCTATTTCCTTAGCACAGGGTATGGTCTCAGACCGCGTGTGTTCGAATCGCACAGGTGTCGGGGAAGCTTTTCTTTTTTTTCACCCTTTGCTTCAGTCACATCGTTCACCACTTGTGGGGAATGTTTATATATTCATCGTTGACCATGTTCTGTTAGGTACTGTTAGGTAAGCCGTGAGTCGGACCGACTTTTTTGCTTGTTGCCTGGTAGTGCGCCGCATCTGTTCTTGCAGACACCCAACTTGCAATTAGTGGAGCTCTAGCCAGCAATGCGCTTCTAATTTTCGGCGACTCTCCAATTATACGAAATGGGGATCATCGATCACTGCTGCTAGCATTGGTGAAGAGGTAATTCCTCCGATGACAACCAGTCCTGGTTACTGGTTTCAAAAAAGAAGGGTTGCCCGATGCCGGTTTGACAATTCCCTGCACAGGAAGGGGGACTATGGAAAGAAAGTCAGAGCGGACAGCTCAATTTTTGTATTGAAATCACTGCCACCTGGGCAAGGGACCCCATGTCGCGTCGAGGATTTCGGGTGGCCAGACCCTGATTTTGGGAAAATGGTCAAAAAGTCACGTGACTAATGACATAATAGGTGGCTGTGTGCTTTCGAAACTGGCTAACTCTACCAAAATGATCTAATTCAGCTTTATTTTTTATTGAATTATTTACCAATAGTTACATTGAGGAATGTTTTTTTTTGATCTCATTAGCTTATGATACATGTAAACATAACTTCATAGTTTAATGGGTGGCCTGACATAGATTTGCGTCCTCCCACGGACGCAAAACTCGACGAAGGAAGCTAAAGTTAAGACTCGTTGGTCCTCATCGCTGGAAGGGTCTTCCATATTGCTTCCTTCGGTTGTATTGACTTCATTTCCTGTTGCATGATGAATGTAAATATAAATTTCTTTTCAAAACACTATTGTGACTCTATTCTGCCTTAATTTAGGCAGACTGCACAAAGAAGAAGCTAAACTGGAGCTTTTTTGGTAGAGTTAGCCAGTTTCGAAAGCACACAGCCACCTATTATGTCATTAGTCACGTGACTTTTTGACCATTTTCCCAAAATCAGGGTCTGGCCACCCGAAATCCTCGACGCGACATGGGGTCCCTTGCCCAGGTGGCAGTGATTTCAATACAAAAATTGAGCTGTCCGCTCTGACTTTCCATAGGGGACAGGAAAAACTCCTTCTGCTCCCGCGTGCGCTTGCTGAGCACAGAAGTAAATTAGCCTCCGTTCAACATTAGCCTCCGTTCAGGCAATCACATTCACGGCGTGCAGACCCGTCGTCCTTGACCTCTCTACATCTCATCCTCCCATCTCATCCCCATGTCGAGCACCCCCGTAGCAAGCCCTTCGACAGCGGCCAGCCATCTTCCGACTCCCGATATGCCCCCCGCTCCCTTCTGCCCTCCTGGGCATGTGATTTTGCTCCTACACTGGATCGTCAATAAGGAGAATATCAAGACGTGGTGGCACCTCAAGTTGCCCCTGGACATACTGGAACGTAACTGCAAGCCTCCCGTCCTGTTCCTCAAGTTATTTGCGGTCTACATCCCAAGTATCGCAACGTGCGACATCGTCTATCATGCGACAGGGATTGGGTGCCCGCCGGACCTCGACCTTGTGGAGGGCTCTATCTTTCGGGTCGTGGACAACCCCACGGATGGACATTCAACATGGCCTCCTGTGGCCCTCGATAGCAGCACCAACCTCCCCGACATGGACGCCATCAACCGACGTTCGTCGATGCATACCTCGGCCGAGAGCGAGGCCCGATCTAAGCCATTTGTGGATGCCATCCAGCGGCGCGACACCGAGTGCATTTTCACCGGTGTACCGGCTATGGGCTGTCAAGTCCAGCACATCGTACGTTTTCATTTTGGCGAGGTGAGTCCCCCATATGCAGTTGGTCGGCACCTGCTGACGGCTGGGCCAGAGAATCCAAGAGCTGGTTGCGCGCACGCTGCCGGAACCTCTGGACCACGACGAAGACGGCAACAATATAGCGAGCATCAACGACCCCCGCAACGGCGCCCTCGTGAACACCTTGTTTCACACGTTGTTTGACGACCATTTCCTCACCATCATGCCTGTAAGCTCAGTGACCTGCTGTGGACGCACCTTCTAATTCGACTGTTGTAGACGCCCAATCGTGTCATCACAACGGACAACATTCCATGGCGGGAACGAGATCTTTCTACTCAGTATCCCGATATGGAGTATCCCGCGGAACAGCAGTTCGCTGCGCAGTGGGTGTTACCCGGTGCTGAGCTCAACCGATACGTAATGAGCACAAGCATCCAGAACAACACCAAGGCTGCCTTTGCCCGAGTGCCACCTGGAAGCAATGTGGACCCCGTCCCGCTCCCCAGCATGCGCCTCTGCATTGTCCACCTCGTATGCGTTTACCTCGAGAAGTTCGGCTACGGCAATCCCTCAATCTCGTATCCGTACCCCGAATATCATCCACCTGAGGATGGTACCTTCGACCCATCTCCGGCATCCCAGGACGGCCCTGGCACGGGACCCGGTTACGGTGGACCGATGACGAGGTCCAGGGCAAGGCCCGGTACTGTGCTTCCGGGCCCGACCAATCCACACTATGGAGCGAACCAGTTGAGCTCGTCTGCCGAGGATGGGCCAGGCCTAGAACCCTTTTACAATATCCTACTCGCAGTCAGCGGTGCGGCTCGTAGGCATAAGGCGGAGGTGTTGGGGCGCATCTGTCACTGGCAGCAAGAGGTGGCAAGTGTCGAGGGTGTGGAAGCGGTCTAGTCTTGGAGTGACTCCACCGAAGGTGTCGAGCTCTCGAGCGATTGTACTAAAGTCTGTTGCTTTATGGAGACTATCCCCTTACTGTACAGAGAGTACCTGAAAATGTAGCCATGTACCCCCTGACACAACCTCCACCGATCTAAGGACTGGCTGTAGACAAACCACACGGTACTAGCGACTGTTGGCTGGTTGATGGTGGGACTACACTATGCCTTCTGACATCCAAACACAGTGCTCCTCACGGGTAAACTAACACGGCTTTTGCACCACAAGAAGGTATTGAAAGTCCGTATCGAGCATTAAAGAGAATGAAATGTTGTGGTTGGTCAAGGTCAAGTGATCCAAGCCTGCAAATGTGTCACGGGATATGGAGCTGTCATGGTCAGGCGAAGCAAGAATGGAATGGACCAATCGAGGGATTCGTTGGGGGCAGGGGGGGTAATGAAATGAGCAGGGGCTGTGCTGCGGCCACGTTTGAATATGCGGACACAGACCCCGCAGCAAGCCTTGACATTAGGCAACCTGACTGGAGGAGGGAACGATCTCGTCCATCTCTTCCGTCACCCAAACGATTGTTCATCTCTTGACCGTATTCTTGGAGGACCATCCAGCAAGCCTCGTCCGATTATCAACGCTCAAGCGAAGGTATTCACGGTAACAGCAGTCTGGTGGTCCTTCGTACGGCTTCCCCTCTTCTGTTGTCTTCTGAGACATCCTCCAATCCTCGTGTTCGTCAACCTCGTGGGTCACATAGCCCTCCCTCATCCGTTTCGCCAACCCGGTTGGCCACTGCGCTTCGTTATCATCCTCGACACGACCCTCTTTCAACTACTTGACAATGACCGAGTCTGCGGTCTCTCGGCCGCGCTCCCCTTCTCCTCCCACCGCCTCCTCACACTCCTCACCATCTACCTCTGATTATCCTTCCGATCCGAATATGAATGGACGAGTGTCCCAACCGTTCGCGAACTGGCATTTGAGCACATCACTTCCCGATCTCAAGCCCCCAGAGCAGAGTCTCCTCCTTGAGGACGTGTTGAAAGAGGATGCTTTCAGGTATGTTGTTGATACTGCTTGGGAAGACCTGCATTTTCATACCGCTTAGTTCGACAACGGATCATGCTACTTCCGGGCCGATTCATGTAGACTTCGGGACCCCCAGCCTCCAGTTGTACCCATTCGCGGCGACTCATGGTCAAGATACCGTCTCGCAACAGCTCGTGAGCTTCCATTCCCTTGGTTCGCAGTCACCAACCACTTTTTCACCCCTCGAGACACTGCTCAAACAAGAGCCACCCACAGAAGCGCAAATGCCCGGCCTAATTTATCCTGTTGGTCAAGAGGGTTCTCCGACTGACTACTCAACATCGTACTTCTATTCTACCTCTCATCCTCAAACACCAGCCTCTTCCAGCGAATCTCCTCAACCAGCGACCGCTACAGTAGAGAGTCAACATGACGCGAAAGCCACCGAGATCGTGTATCCGCCACCAAGCATCACTGGGTGAGTATGACCCTGGGCTCTCGGACATCGTTCTGATTTCCAATGCAGTTTGAAGATTGGCTTGCCTACCATTCCATCTTTCGGAGCTAAGTCGCGGGTTGAAACGCAGATCAAAGTCGTCTTGCAACTGGCTATGCCCGACGGGGATCCTCTTGCAGGCCGAAGGGTTGGAACATGGAAATGGATAAGACTGGAGAAGGGCGCTGCCCTCCGACGTCGCCCTCGGAACGCTGCAAAGAATAGTAAGCCTTCTTTGTGGCATCTATCGTCTTCGTATTCTAACGAGTGTTGCCGGTGCAGTGCCGGAGCCAAAGCCAGCAGAAGTACTGTATCTGGTTGCAACTGTTCACCCCGCATCCCAACCAAATTTGACGGCATTTCGATGCGTCTCCTGTCATCAACGTGAGGTCAAGCGCACTGCTCGTAAACTGGCTCTTCGTGTCCGACGTCCTCCTTCCCCGTCTCCTTCGCTCGACCACGGGAAGCCAAAACTGCGTGAGAACAGCGAGGAGGAACTAGATGATAAACGTATGGTCATTTTCAATTGCGCCGATTTGCAGGAGCTTCGTGATGGAGAGGTCAGCTTACCCACGCGTTTGGTCTGCTACTGTCGACACCACCGCGAGAAGGTCGGTTTCATGTAGGCCAACATTCTATTTTGGTTTTAGCCGCGTAGGCTAATCTGACCCGTTTTTAGTGTGGTCTTCAAACTGTTCGCCGAAGGCGGCCGCTTGGTAGCAGAGGGAACATCGCCTCCCATCATGATCACCGATGATCATAAGTCACGGAACCCAACCGATATTGAGACTCCGGCGACTCGCGTTGATATCCTTGGTCAAGTATCGGGCCCAGAGGAAGTTATTCCCAAACGCAGGAGGGTTATTGACGACGGCGCGGAAAGTCAGCAGGAGCGCCGGCCCCGCAAGAAGAATCGGTCTGCGGCTTCTACCCCACCTATGTTATCGGAGCGACCCTCTCCAAGTCAAGGGCCGTTGCCCTTGCCGTTGAGTCCTCTCAGCACCAGCGCAATAAGTGGCAACTCAGACCTGCCGAGTAACCTCCCGAGCTACCCACAGACCATTCCAGGCATCTTCCAATTTCCTCATGCCATCAGTGGTACTGTACCCGTACCACAGACCGTTATCCAGAATCGACCGAAAATCCTTCGCCTGATTCCCCCAACAGGTCCGGTGGCAGGAGGGATCGAGGTCACACTCTTGGGACAGGCCTTCAATCTGACTACGGCTCCAGTTTTCGGTAATGTTGCCGCAACGAGTTGGACACCATACGGTGAAAATGCCATAGTGTGCATTTTACCACCGAGTCCCTGTCCTGGACCTGTTCGGGTGACTCTCCAAGGCGTAGAGCCTGTACTTGGAGAAGAACCCTCTATCTTCTGCTATGAGGATCATTCCGACAAGGCACTGTGAGTTCTCTTGCCCACAATTATAGCATGCAAGACTTACTTTGACATAGGATGGAGTTAGCCCTGCAAGTCGTTGGTTTAAAGATGAATGGTCGCATCGACAACGCGAGGGATGTTGCTATGCAAATTATGGTCAGCGGCCGTTCTATGGGTCCAGGTAACCCGTCGACATCGCAGGCAGGTGGCATGCCATACGGTCAATCCATGTATGCCGCTACAAGATTCTTAGGATCTCAAGCTTCGCAGGCAGCTGGCCATGACTTCCAGTCTACCGTCATGGCATTAATGAGGCTCTTGGAGGCGCCGTTCCCCTCTAACGGTGCTAACGAAGCATACCTGTGTCGCACTGGTCCTACGGGCCTCACTTTGCTCCACCTGGCAGTGATTCTGAACTTCCATCGTCTATGTGGTCAGCTCCTGTCGCTGGGAAGTGATCCGAATGTCCGAGATGTGAACGGCTATACAGCTCTACACTTCGCCGCTCTCCATGGTCGAGTACGGTGCACAAGATTACTGGTGGACGCCGGTGCGGATGTCAACATAGTGCATGGTCTGGGTGAAAGTGCCGCAGACGTGGCGAGGGGGCACGACGAAGTGGACGTGTTGGAAATTTGTGAAGAGTATGGTTTTGATCATCCCGATAACTTTGATGGAGTGGATGCCGATGAGAGCGCGGACGACGCTCTGAGCGATGCCAGCTATGGTATGCCTAGTGGAGATGACATGGTCAGCGAAGACGACGATGTTGCCTTCTCCATCAACCCTCCATCTAGTGGCCGCAATGTGTCTTCCCCTGTTGCCAGCCCGTCATTGTCATGCAGCACTGACGATCTCGAGGAGCTTCCCCCTTTACCGGACGATTCCGATGCGGACTTGATGGAGCCTGGTGAACAGGGAACAAATGCGGCCCCACCCCCATATAGCTATTGGCCATCCACCCTTGTGGATTACTCCGCGGCTCTGCTGCAAAAAGCATTGCTGCAGCTGCATAACCCCCCATACCCCGCTTCTTGGGAGAAGATGCCTTCGGTCGTTCCCACGTTGCCGTGGGAGAAGATGGCTCAGCAGTTAAATTTATCAGCGATGCCACTCATATTCCACGTTGGGGTTCCCTCCTGGCCGCCTGCCCTCACTTGGCCCGGCACGACGCAGGCTTTTGATGGAGAGAAGACGACATCGACACTTGGGAACATCAATTCTCCTTCGGCTTGGTGGCAACGCCCAGAGGCTGGTCAGGGTCGCAAGCTTGCTGCAGGTATGCGTGGGGCGCCTCCGCTGTCAGGAGCGCTTCAAGCGCCAGCTCCGGATGTCGTTGCTCCTCCGTCAAGGGGTGCTAGAAGAATTCGTTATGACGAAGTAGATGTTACCGATGGAGAACTCAATTCTTACGCATACCAAGCGAGTATGGATGGTCGTAGGACTCACAGTAGGCCATTTAGATCTTCTTTACGAGTAGCTGATTCAAGTCTGTTATAGAAAGCGACCGGATGCTCGTTGTCTTCTGGATACCTGTTTTAATTTGTGAGTTTGCCGCACCATCGTAACTAGTCTCTCTGTTGATCTCAATTCCCTGTGTAGTTGTTCTTGCGATGGCTGCTATCCAGTCATTGCCGTACGCATACTCGGTGTTACAAGGAAGTTCCCGCGTGCTGAGATCGCGATTCGTTCCAATCTAAGGCTCAATCCTTTCAGTAGAGAACCATCGTAGATGTCTTCATGGTTTGCGTCTCGGTTGAAGGTGATTTGTAACGTTGCAAACGTTTGAATAAAGCAACGAATTTTAGACTTTGACGTAAACAATAGAGAAACCATATATGTAGCATTATTGTAAACTAGAAACACTTGTGGCTCCTCACAGAATACAAATTATGTGCCAGGACTTGCTCTGATCCCGGTGTACTTTTAACAAAAGTTCCATAATGCAGTGCGGAACCACGACGCGTGCCTCGTCATCAGGCCTCACGCGGATGCACGTGCTATATTTCACGTTGAAAGGGTTCTCTCTGTACAAACATCAACTGTCAACCCATTCGCATTCTTTCTCTTTCTCTTTCTCTTCATCTTCATATTGTCATGGCACCTCAAAAATCTACTTCGACTCTCACCGCTGAGACTAATGGTGTAAGACCTAGGAAGGCCTCCCGCTCGAAAGCCTCTAGTCAACATGTGAGCAATTGAGTCATTGAGCTGTTTCGCTTTGCTAACCTGCCGTTTGGCCCAGACGGAGATCTCAGCAGAGCAAGCACCGAACGGGCACACCCAAATCAAAAAGATGGGATCTCATTCTCAAGAACCTCAAGAAAGTCAGGAAGCGAGCACACAGCTTAAACGTGCTACAAAGCGTACTGCAGCAGCGATGGCCGATCCCAAAGAAGTTCCAGTCAAACGTTCACGCGGTCGTTTGTCTGTAGCGCGCGGCAATCACACGTCAGGGATCTCCGCGAATATGCTTAACCCTCTGCGCGGGATACCTGCGGAGTTTCGTCCTGCTCAGCACCTATTTATATTCGGGAATGGGGAAATGGCCCAACTTGGTCTGGGGGTGGATATGTTGGATGAGATTCGCCGGCCAAAGTTGCACACATGGTTCGAAGAGGCTATAGAAGAGGGAAGACTAGGCGGTGCGGGCGCCGGCATCGAGAAGGCATGTACCGGAGGGATGCACACCTTGGTCATTGACGAGATGGGACGGGTGGGTGATCTTCTGGTTATCGTTTCCACCTCACTGACGTCGTACATGGAGATATGGAGCTGGGGGGTCAACGACAATGCCTCTCTGGGACGTCTTACGGCGAATGTCCCCATCCCAGATGCTCCAGGAGAGTTTTTCCAGACAGAGGTTCTCGAAACTCAACCCATGCTCGTCCAATCCCTAGTGGATGAAGGGTTCCGTGCAGTGACGGTAGCGGCCGGAGATAGTATCAGTGTTGCACTGGACGTCGATGGTCAGTTGAGATGTTGGGGGTCGTTTAGAGTTCGTACCATGGCGACATCTTTCTGTATCACTTCCTGATCGATTGCGCAGTCTAGCGATGGCCTGCTCGGTTTTGATGGCAGGCTAGGTTCAGCTCAGCAACAATTTACACCCGCCCCAATCGAAGACTTCAGAAAAGAGAAATTTATATCTCTGGCCTGTGGAACAGACCATGTTCTAGCACTCACTACGGATGGCCGGGTTTGGGTGTGGGGTAATGGACAACAAGCACAGCTGGGTAGGAAGATCATCGAGCGCCGCAAGACTAATGCGCTCCGCCCAGAGAAACTTGCATTGAAGAAGGTCGTCGCAGTGGGAAGCGGATCGTATCACAGCTTTGCGATTGATGTCAAGGGCCGTGTATTCGCTTGGGGCCTCAATTCTATGAAGCAGACCGGAGTCGCGGCCGAGGATGGAGGGTCAGAAGATATCATAACTGCTCCAACTGAGGTCAGAGCGCTACATCCTGACCAGCTCAATGGTGAGAAAGTGATGTAAGCATCGTCTCTTCATGAATTGATCCATGCTAATCCTTGTACCTGCAGCCAAATCAGCGGGGGGGAGCATCATACGCTGTTCCTCGTGTCCGATGGCAGAGTTTATGCTTGTGGACGCTCTGATGGCTTTGAACTGGGTATTGGGCCTGTAGAGAGCCTACAGGATGTCAACGGTGACCACGTAATGAGCTCTGAGGACCAGTCGCATATGCGAGCATATGTTGCCGTGCCTACCCTCGTTGCCTTCCCTCCTGTGCCGACGCCAGAGGAAATGAACCCCGATGTTCCAGAAGGGCCACCTGCTATTCCGCCGATCAATCCCGTATCCTCTGTCCACGCTGGTACACATCACAATCTGGCCGTTTCCCGCGCGGGCTACGTCTACTCATGGGGCACCGGAAATCAGTCTCAACTCGGTTTGGGTAACGAAGAAGAGGCGGAGCGTCCCACTCGCTTGCGCTATAAGGATGGGGACAAATGGTTCATCAGGTCTGCTGGTGCGGGGGGGCAGCACTGTATCTTTTTGGCCACGCCGAAATAGCACCTCACGGACGCACGGTCGGACTGCTCTCTATTTTTTTTTCCCCACAAAAGCAACGCATGATACTCCTTGTTGTTATTATTGCAATGCGCGTTTCTCTTTTTTCCGCGACACTATCGCCCACCATGTGACATTGTCTGCATCGTTTATATTAGTTTTAATACATCTATAATCAGCCCCGAGGTGAAAAACAAGACCCTGAAAGTGGTTTGTTCGCACCACAAAAAAGGCCAGCGCGAATTTCCCAACACAGTCTTTATCACTTGATCCAACAGAGAAGAGATAGAATGGCAGGCCGAGCGAGGAGTACAGGGGCAGAAACAGCGGAGTCCCATCGTGGTGAGTCTTGTTTGCGCGCTGCCCTATTTGTCCTAACAGCTTCGAATTCACAGTTCAGTTCAGCGTCGTCCAGTATTATCTAGTTGCGTACAACGTGCTGTCTTGCCTCGCATGGGCCTGGATTCTCGGAAGATGTCTCTACCATGAGATTAGTGGCTACTGGGAGCCATTGAGCGTTGGTCTCAAGGCACAGATGATGTCTTTGCTCCGTGCCATGAATCCGACTGCTCCTTCCTTGTTTACGCCTGCGGTATTCAATTACCTCCTTCCGAAATGGCTACATCCTTTGACCAATCAAGCGTCAACGATGTATGCTGAGGTAGGATTGGAGGTGAAGATCATCCAGACATTCGCTCTGCTGGAAGTGGTGCATGCGATGCTAGGATTAGTGAAGTCATCTTTGGCGACGACAATCATGCAAGTCGCAAGTCGCTTGATCTTAGTTTGGGGTATTGCAGATCACTACGACCAGGTATGCCTTTTCTTTTGAATGGACCCAGCGAGCCTGCTGACATATTCCCTCCAGGCCAAGGAGAATCCATTGTATGCCTCTATGGTGTTCGCGTGGTCAATCACCGAAGTGATTCGCTATTCGTGGTATGCCCTCAATCTGTGCGACCTTAAGATCTCCTGGTTGACGTGGATTCGGTAAGCCTATATCATATGTGCTTGAAGCTTTATTGAAGTGGGATGTTGTAGATACACTTTCTTCTATGTTCTGTATCCTGTGGGTGCTGGGTCTGAGGCATTCGTCATGTTCTCCACTCTCCCACCCATCGTTGCCACGGCGCAGTCTCCACGCCCAATTCTTGAGATGTGGATGGAGCAACCATCGGCTTTTGTGCGCCTGTTCCTTTTCCTAGGATGGTGGCCAAGTAGGTACTCCCATAGCCTTACTCTAGGTCGTTGACGCTAACAAATGCCCTTCTTCCAGGCCTCTATGTTCTCTACAACCACATGCGCAAACAGAGAAGAAAAGTTCTCGGATCGTTCAAGGCCAAAGGCCGCAGTCTCAAAACGGAATGAGCGTGGGCTCGCCAGGATGATGGGACCGGGCGGTGGGGTGTCCGAAGGGGGGGGGG